AAAACAGATGCATCCAAAGACTTTAAGGTGAGACAAGTCCACCTTTCTGTTCTTGACTATCTCCATTGGGGATTTGAACCCCAAAACCCTACTAGGTAATCTGTTGATCAGGTAAGCTGCTGTCATGACGCTTTGAGACCAAAAACGTTTTGGTACATTCATTTGTAACATCAATGCCCTAGTTTTTTCAAGGAGATCTCGGTTTTTTCTCTCGGCAACACCATTTTGTTGGGGTGTGCCAACACAGCTAGTTTGATGTATGATGCCATTGTTGCTCAAATATTGAGTCATGACTTGGGACATGTATTCTGTGCCATTATCAGACCTTAGGGTTTTGATTTGAGAAGAAAAATGATTTTTGACAAGGTTGTGAAAGTCCTTAAACACTTCCATCACCTCATTTTTTGATTTTTAACAAATATAACCAGGTGGCTCTTGAATAATCATCAACAAAAGTTATGAAATATTTATAACCGTCAAAAGATTCATTTGTTGGTCCCCATATATCAAAGTGTACAAGCTCAAAAAGATGAGAAACTCTAGACATCGAAGACCCTAGAGGTAGTCTTGTTGCCTTTGACAAATGACAAGTTTCACAGTGGGTTGATTCTTTGCCTAAGTCAGGAAATAAGGTGGATAAGATAGGTTGAGATGGATGAGCTAGTCGTTGGTGCCACAAGGTGGAAGCTTGAATGGAGGTATGTATGGACTTTGACTTGGCATGGAACCCACAGGAAGAGCTTTTTGATATGTAATAGAGACCATCAAGGTAAAACCCCTCACCAATCGTCCTCTTGGTTATACAATCCTGAAAAATGACAGTTTTTGGTGAAAAAATGGCCAAACAATTTAAGGAATTTGTGATTCTTCCCACTGAGAGAAGTTGAAATGGAAATGATGGGACATATAGGGCCATAGACTCTATTTGATCAGATATCAGGTGGATTTTTCCCTTTCCTACAATCCTAGCACCTTCACCATTAGCAACAGATACATGTGAAGGATTATGTAGTTTCTCAAATCTATGTAACTTTGACATTTGATTAGTCATATGGTCTGTGGCACCAGAATCTACAACCCAAAAATCATGTAACTCATTTATTTTAAGAGCAGTTTGGAAAGCAGTTACGATACCTTTCAAGTCTGTCTGAGGTACATAATCAGCATCAGCTAAAAAACCTGCAAATTTGCCCATCAATGCAGTAGTACTTCCATCTTCATGATCAACCGATCCATCCTCTTTTCCCTTCTTTTTTTGGAGATACGCTGCGAACTCATTTAAAAGGATGGCAGGATTTGCAGTGAACTGTTGATAGGTATCAACATTGTTGATAGATGAAGATGTTGCAGTGTTGGCACGAGGGTGTGCTCGACTTGTCTTTGGTGCGGATTTATCCTTCATGAAGTCAGGTTTGAGTTCTGGATGTAGGATCCAGCACTTGTCTCTCACATGCCCGATGTTGTCACAATGTAGGCACTTTAAATGAGGGTTTTTTCCTTTATATCTTTTTTCATTTGTCAGGTAAGCCCTAGCTTCTGTCACGTTGGTTTTTATACCATTGTTCATGACTTTTCTCCTTACTTCCTCACGTTGGATAGTTGCACAGATACTAGTGAAGGATGGTAGCTCCGAGTTCATGAGAATGTGACTTCTCAAATCCTCATATTCTGAGCTCAAGCTAGACAATAATTGAAAAATTTTATCTTCTTCAGTTCTTTTAAGGAGCACAAAGAGATCAGTTGTGTGAGGTCTGTACACATCTAACTCATTCCACATGCTTCTCAAAGAACCAAGATGTTGAACAAAGCTTTTACCTTCTTGCTGTATGTTGGAGATATCCTTCTTGAGTTGAAAGATGCGAGCTGCATTGTTTTGGTTTCCATACATCTCCTTCACGGTGGTCCAAAGGATGAGAGACGACTCGGAATAGCTGAAGATTTCAGCAATATTCCTTTCCATAGAATTTAACAACCATGACATGACCAGTTGATCTTTACATAGCCACCCTCCATATTCTGGAGAAGAAGCATCTGGTGCAGGTTGACTGCCATTGATGAAACCGAGTTTGGATCTTCCACCGAGAGCAAGACTAACAGCCCTTGCCCATGGCAAATAATTAAACTCATTCAATAATACTGAACTGAGTCGTTGGTTTGGATTGATATCCATTTCCGAAGCGCTTCCAGATGAAGAAGCAATGATACTTCCATCTGCCATTGTTTTTGAAAAATAAACACAGCAGATTCGATATACAGAACTGGCTCAGGATGATGCCCGCTCTGATATCATGTTGAGTGTTTTTTATGTATATTTCATATCTGAAACCATTACACAATGCAACATATATGGGAGAACCGAAAGCAACAAAATGATGACATCCAACATAATGATGACCTCCAACATAATGATGACACATCCAATCCCACTAATCTTAATCTATTATCTATATGGGAGAACCGAAAGCAACAAAATGATGACCTTCAACATAATGATGACCTCCAACATAATGATGACACATCCAATAAATACCAACAACTGTCGGGACTCAGCAGGCAACCCCATCCCCAAGGTCCTGTTTATTTGCATCTTTTTTTTTTTTTTTTTTTTTATCAGAAACAACTTCATTGAAACAGCAAGACCATACAAAAGAGAGAAGGCACAGAAGCTTAGTCCCAAAAGGACCAACAAAAGGGAGCAAAGGGACCAACAAAAGGATAAGAAGACTTGGAGAAGAAACTCTAGTCGCCAAAACCAGGGAACCTAACGCCCCTTAGCCTCCCTAAGGAGGACAGGGAAGACCATCAATGGATAAGATATGCACAAGAGCGGATGGGGGCCTGGAAACCCAGACTTCCGGACACATCCCTCTTAAACTCTGCGGGGCAACCCAATCAGCTGCCGAATTCGCTTGGCGAGGAATCCAGCACCACTTGGCAGAAGGAAAGCTGAAGACTCCAAATTTGACGAATGAGAGGAAATAAAGACCACCTGACAGAAGCCGTCTTCATGGCAAAGATAGCAGCATGAGCTTCCGCATCCAGGGAAGAAGATGCCACACCCGAGCCAGAGTCACCCCCACCAAAAGAGACCCCCGATAATCCCTAATGATCACCCCAAGACCCATACGATGCGACACACTCGACCAGGCCGCATCACAGTTCACCTTTACCACCGACAAAGGAGGAGCGTGCCAACGAACCAGAGGAGCAGCGGGGATATCCCGGTTTACGGAGGAGACATGAAGGACCTTGGAAATGGATAAAAACTCAGAAATCGCTTCAGCGGCCCTCCCGGCAGTATCGAGAGGAGAAGGGCAGGTACCATTGAAAATGGCACAACACCTGGCTTTTCAAAGTCCATGGCCAAATGATGCGGTCCCAAGATGAAAGATCACCAGCGGGTGTACATTCAATAGCCAAGCAATCCAGGGGCGAAATGAAAGATTCAATTTCACCGAGATTCCAAGAACCAGTCGAAGTGTTTGTAATTTCACGGACAGTTCGAAGTGTTCAATTTCATCCTTTGTTACTCTATTTTGTGTTGTGTCTTTGTTCTTTTCATTGAGAAAATTACTTAACTTCTTATGTATAAACATTCATTTCTCCAAACAAAATAACCGTTCGACATGTGTCATGATAATGAGTTAATGTAATATATATACGAAATTGTGATTTACAAATAAAGAAAAACGATCAGGAGGCGAGAAATTTGTTGTAATCATTGGCAAAATCTCAACAATGCAGCGGTGCATTAATATTTGGCAGTCAACTCAATAATGTCCATATTTTACGTCTTCAGTTTTCTTCTATATTATATAATGTTCCGTTATCCATGCTGACATCTTGCATGCAGCTGCATGCATTGTTTAAATATCTAGTAGAACTAGTTAACTAGTAAAAGCTTTATAAAGGAGTTCACTCTTCAACATCTCACCCGAAAAGAGAATTGTGCCCAGTTGTGATATTCTGGATAGCTTTTTCTTACGATCGATGTTGCATTATTGCTTTAAAATGTTACGGTATCATTTAAGAATGTAAAAAGAGTAGGGTTATTAATTACATTTCATGCCATTTTTCTTCATAAATACTTTGGAGCTCATTATGTCAGAACACCAACAAGATCTAGTCGTACAAACTTGAAGCGAAAAGTTTCATTTTTTTATTTAAAAAAGATATCAGCTGATGGTTTCGTCGTCATTTTTTTTGGATCGAGAAGAGGATTAGGTCTCATTTGGGATCGACACAAAGGCCCTGTGGGGTGTAGGAAATATTTAGGCGCAACCACATGTGACTGGTCATTCGGCTACACCACATGGGGTGTGAGAAATAATTAGGTGCACTCACCGGAATCACATGATCGTTTGGCTATGCCACACACTTATTCTCTTCATACTCTTGTGAGTTGGTTTTACTCACCCTTCTCGATTTTTCTTCCTTGACACATTTCTGTGTGTTTCTAGCATTTGGATTGAATAAATCAATATAAAATTAAATAACGTAAATGAATAGGATGTGCGTATAAATGATTTCCCTATTTACTAAAGGGCAATTTAGTTATGTGAGATACTTGCGATTAGTACACGTGTGAATTTTAAAGAATGTGTGAAGTGTTTCAGCAAAGAGTGTCTTTTGGAAGTTAAGGCTAACAATATAATACGCTTTCTCTGAAAATAACGCATTATGAGCTCATTTGAAAGTGATTTAAAAATCACAGAAAGTGTTTGTCGTGAAAATATTTTTGAAACTAATCCTTAGTAAAAATACAAGTAAATCATGGAAAATCATTGTATGTGTTTCCTGCAATAACCACATAATTGCAAGGAGCATTTCAACTCCAAGTGCTTTTGGAACTTATAAATGTTTTCAGTTATTTTATAAACACTTCCAAACAAGTCCTGTGTTTGTATAATGTTGAAGCTAACAATAAAAGTCACTCTCTCTGGAAAAAAAACACATTACATATTCATACGCTTTTAACCACTTAAGATACAAATTCTTCACAATGCCATCATTAAACCAGAGAAAAAGAAGAAGAGGTTGAGAATAAACCCACTCATTTACAAGAAAAAATTTCCGGGACAATTTTCTGACTTGGGCCCTCACATAAACATAGCTGCGCTCGCACCTACACTCACATACGGCCGACAGTTACAGTGATAGAATATATCGCCTCTGCTTCTTTCTACCCCATCACTCACTGAACTCTCTTTCTCTCTCTGTTTTCGCGATCGAAGTGAGGTAGATTTGTTTCCTTGATAGATCTGTGAATATCAACTCCATTTTGGTCCGAATGTGCATTCACGTTTCGTTTAAATTTCTGTTTGGTTGCCCGGAAAATTGCGGGAAAATTTAGACGGCCTCCGGATCTTCGAATGACTATCAACATTCTGAATTCTCAATTTTTTTTTTTGTAATTTCGGGTTACTACTTTGATTAAAATAATATTTTTTGAGTAATGTAGTCTATGATTTACGTGATATAATTGAATCCTGATATGTGTAGCTGCAGTTGTATCGTTTCAGCTAAGTGGGAAGATATGGATTCGTCAGTGGTGCTATATAACCAGCTCAAGGTTTAATTTTGTTGGGATTTTTAAATTCTTACGTTAAATGGTATATAAATTTGGATGGTTTATGCTCCAATAGTACTTTAATTTTTCTCTTATTTCAATCCTAGCAGGCAGCAGAACCATTTTTCTTGCTAGCCGGTCCCAATGTGATCGAATCTGAGGAGCACATTTTCCGAATGGCCAAGCACATCAAGAGTGTTGCAACGAAGTATGCTCCTTGTCTTTGGGATTTATGCATTTTGTCGAAATGGGATAAAGATTGGATTTAAATCTTTGTGTATTTTTTCGAATTTTGACAAGATAGACAATTTGTTTTTCAATCTTGTAGAGTTGGATTGTCGCTGGTTTTCAAGTCAAGCTTTGACAAGGCCAACCGTACGTCCTCAAAATCATTCCGGGGTCCTGGCTTGGAGGAAGGCTTAAAGGTGGACCACTAGTCATTATCTTTTTCTCATGCTAAGTTTATATTTGAATCACTTTGGTTGCTATGGTCAAAGTATAGAGAACTTACTAGATATTGTTACATGTTCAAGTAAATTACCAGTGTCATCGGAGTTTGAGACTGCAAGTCCGTGTTGTTTCAGTTCTTCAATGACATGTGTTGATACATCTAAAGCTTTTAACAGTTTAGCTGCAATATTACTAGGGAATACATAAATTTGTAGAGTAGAATTTCTCTTGCATAATATTAACTCGGTATTATTATCGATATAGAAGACATTCAACTTAAAATCACTGATTCCTCTTTATTTCACCTTTTTATTTCAGATCCTTGAGAAGGTCAAAACAGCATTTGATCTCCCTATCATTACAGATGTACATGAAGCTAGCCAGGTGAGCATTCTATCTCCTCTCATCAGGTGAAATTTTTTTAAATCGTATTTTTAGTATACTTGTTTGCTTCAGCTTTAAATATTTATGTGTCAAAGATAATGCCTTAAGAGTAAGAAGGTCAAATTTTGCTTGAAAATGCGCTGTTTTCTTGATGAATAAGTGTGCACCATTTGGGTACCTCGGGTAGGCTTCACTATATATCTATGAAACAATGTCTGGATTAGTAGAAAAAGAGACTTTGGGATAGGTTATAATCTACTCTATTACTAAATTTTCTTGATTTTGGACTTGGTCAATAGATCTCTATATGTTCTATCTTGAATCAGTTGAATGTATACTTGCTTGCATAATGATGCAGCGCAACACATCGTCTCGTCCTTGTTTGTTTCTTTACCATTGCATGTTAAACAGCAAGGGAAGTTTGGACTGGCTATTAGGTCATGAACTGTTTCTCACGTTGTTCCTTTGCTTTTTTGTTTTTTCTAGTGTGAAGCAGTTGGTAGAGTTGCAGATATTATACAGATTCCTGCATTTTTATGCCGCCAGGTGAAGTTAATATGGAACCCTGTGCCTCCGCCATCATGACAAAGTTTTAATGATAAGTTGCTAAAGAAAGGAATCAAAGTTGAAATGGAAGTTTTTAAAGGATGCCATAAGTCGGGAGTCTTATCTTATTTGTGAGTCTGACTTCCTATGATGACAGACAGATCTTCTAGTTGCAGCAGCCAAGACTGGAAAAATTATCAATATTAAGAAGGGCCAGTTCTGTGCTCCTTCTGTGAGTGATTTAGATTTCTCCCCCACTCTCTGACCTAATTGATTAAAACTCCACTAACTAATCTCATTTAAATTATTTTGGTATCCTTGTGCTTTTGTTATTAATGTTAAAGTGTTCATATTTTATTATTTTCAGGTCATGGTAAATTCAGCTGAGAAGGTTAGACTGGCTGGAAACCCAAATGTGATGGTTTGTGAGAGGGGAACTATGTTTGGCTATAGTAAGTCTTACAGCATCTATGTTATCTCTTTAATTAGGCTGTCTGTTTCGGCTTCAATCAATGTTCTAGTGCTTGCCCCACTCTCTGCATGGCCATTGCTTAATTCGTCATGTTCCCCCTTTCCCCCTTATGTTTTTAAACTTTGATGCGTTGATTCTCCATTCATATTGTTTAAGATTTTATTGTTGCATTCTTATAATTTGGTCCTGCACATGTTTTTAAATTTTCACGCATCGATTCTCCATATTTTTTAAGGATTAAAGTTAATGTTGCATTCTTATAATTTGGTCCTGCTTAGTTGATTTATCCTATATCTCTGCTTTGTTTTATAGATGATTTAATTGTTGATCCCCGCAATTTGGAGTGGATCAGAGAAGCTAATTGTCCTGTCGTAAGTTGCTGTTTACATCTGTTCTTCCTTTTCCGTGCTCTTGTTATTTTGTAATAAAATTTCCGTCCGTTTTCTTTATATTGGAAGTACACAACTACCCCCATTCCTCCTTCTCCAACTAAACAGGTTTCCAAATTACTTTTTATAGTTTTTGGTTGAAATAGACAAAAGTGCTTCTGGTTGGAGAAGTACCTTTAGGAAGCTTCTGTAGGAAGTCTTGCCCGTTGAAATACAGAAAACACTTGGCTTTCTAACTCAAGTGTTTCACTACAGGTTGCTGACGTCACACATGCATTGCAACAGCCTGCTGGGACGTGAGAAAGTCTTACATATGGTTTCTCTTAGAAACGCATGGTTATAATAGCCACAACTTGTGTTCCGTGATATATCTCATTAAATCTGTAGCCAATATTATTATTTCCTTTTCACGTCTCCTTGACATTAGCAATGACCTGTGAAAAATCACTTAATTTGGGTGGTTGGGGAGAACGTGTTAGATTATTGCTTTTGAGTGACAACAAAATTTAGGAACTGCCTTTATCTTATTGCATGTGGAGATGAAATATTTCTTCTGGTTTTATCACTAGCAGCTATAATATGCTTACTTTAATTTGATATTGCTAATTGTTAAAATTTGATTCCTATATCATGGCTGAACTTTACTTTCTCCTATAGTTGGAGGATGGAGGTGTTGCCAGTGGTGGTCTTCGTGAATTAATACCATGCATTGCAAGAACAGCAGTTGCTGTTGGAGTGGATGGAATTTTCATGGAGGTAAAGTAACTTTCGGATGCCTGCATTTATGTTTCATTCCTTTTTAGGATTATGATTCTTATTTCTGGGATTTACTTCAAACAAATTTGTTGAAGTTTACTAATTCAGCTGTACGAATAAATTCTCATTCTCATTTATCTGCAACCATGTGCGTGCAAATTTGATAGTGTGCTATATGAATTCATCTTTCTTAGCTGTCAATTGTATGGCCACATGAAGCTGCTGATACAAAAATTTCTCAGGGTAGTCGTCTTTATGAATACATTTATACATATACCCACACACACACACACGTATCTACACACTTGCATACAGACTGTTGGCTTGCTAAGATTTTCCTTTGGGTACTTAGGTACATGATAATCCTTCTAATGCGCCAGTTGATGGTCCAACTCAATGGGTGAGTCATGCTTTCTTGTTTTCATGTGCATTTTCTCCCGTTTTGAGATGCTTGAATATATAAACATTGTTTAACGAAAAAGTATTTTATTAAGTTTAACTGTTTATATTACTTCTTGTTTATGATTTTAGCCCTTGCGCCACTTGGAGGAACTGTTGGTAGAGCTCATAGCAATTGCTGTAAGTCTCTTGCTCTATCCGTAATATGAGCACTTACATTATGATCATTTTTGTGTCAAGTGTTGTAAAACTCCTAAAGAACTCCATGTACATAGAATGCATAATATATTGGCTACTTGGAGAGACGAATTTATGGTTTTTACATTAACCATGGAAATGCAGTGTCAGCAGTTATGAATACTAGATTCTTTTAACACTTTCAAAACAATTCAGAAGTATGGTAATTAGGATTATTTTTATATGGTGTAGTCTTCCCTCCCAAAACCTTCCCTGGCGTTCTCACAATGCTAGAGAGTAAAAAAATAAAGAACAAGAACGGTTTTTCGTTTTGATTTTGCGTTCTTAGTAGAATGGTTTTTCATTTTATTGCTGGATATTGACCTAGATATTATGTTTTGTTGTTAATTTTTAGAGGGTAAGCAAGGGGAAGCAACGTTTCAACATTGATCTCACACCCTATCGCGATTAGAAGAGTTGAAGCTACTCTATTGGTAAGAATGGTGGTCTAATGCATTAAGTATTTGTCTTTTTTTCCTTTGTTACCCATTATTGTGAAGGTGGAGTGTAAAAGCTATAATAGAATGAAAGGGAGAGCACATCCACCTCGAGTCCACTATCGTAATTGATGAGGGTGCAGGTTTGGGCAAAAAGATGCAGAATTGAGCGTTTTGTGGCACCCTCAGTCACATACTTTTTGCCCCTCCAGGCAATACGTAGCAGAATTGAGGTTAAAGAGTTCGAAGTAGTGTCTTGTCATTGACGACAGATATGCTGCCTGGCGATAGATTTTTACAGAGTCTAATAAACATACTTTGGACCATAAAATGCCTTCTTTTCTTCCCTAACTGCATCTCCATTCAAGTTCTTGTCGCTTTGAGTCTGTGCCCGTTGTTACTTACGTATGGTTTTCATTTTTTCTTATTTCAGGTATTTATTTGCGTTCAAGTATTATAATGTTAAAGAGAGAACTAGATTTGTAGGGGAAGGGGAGTGACATTCTACCACAGCCTCCTGCATTCGATGAGACGGTGGTATGTTTGCATTTCATTTGTTTATCATTGTATTCCTGAATTCATTAGTTTTGCGCTCGGGTTAATCTGTTATCTTGGCCTGAAGAAATTGATTGTCATGATATTCGTGTTTGCGTTGCTCGTTGAATGTTTCGTACGTTGTAATGAAGATTTTGGAGTTCCGACTGTGTAGCCTGTAGCTTAAGAAATAAAGATCTTTGTGTTTCTTCAACTGTTAGTTTTCACTTGTCGTAGGATAAGCATCAAGGTGTTTTCAATATTAATTTTAACGTGCTTCTAATAAAAACCTTTTCACAAAAAATGCAGAACAAACTTTCGACCGTCAAATAACAGATGTTGGTGGAGATTTTTTGAGGATGTGTTTGCACTAAGTGGTAAATTTGGTTCTTAAAGTAGTAGTATGCCACGACTGTTGGCGCTTAAAGTGGTAGTGTTGACGCATGGAGAAGTAACATTGTGCTGAAATACAATTTACCACCTGAGGAAGCACTGTAATACTCAAATGTGAAAATGTTACTGAAGAGTGCTTGAAAACTCTCAACCGTCCCAATTCTTCTCTTGCTCCTTTCACTCCATCAAACATAGGAGAAGTTTGGAACATGACTAGTTGGACTAACAATATCCAATCGTTACAAGGTCGATTGAGGTTTCATATTCGACTATGCATATATATAGCTAATAAGATTTCAATTTAACTTACATAAATGACTCGTGAAAGTGTAAACGTTAATTTCTGCAGAGAACAAAAAAAAAAAAAAAAAAAAAAAAAAAAAAAAAAAAAAAAAGTTAAAAAAAAGGGGCTTTGAGCCTTTGAGTTAAATACCAAATTTGCCCTTTAAAAAACCATAAAACCTCAATTTCATAACACGTATTTCGCAAAGCCCTAATTCTTACAAATCAGAAAACCTTCACCGCAGCGCGGCCAAGCCTCGTCGTCGTCTGCTCCAAAAAAAAAAAAAAACAAAAATCCAAAACCTTTTACTCGGTCCAAAAACTTCGCCGGCACCGGTTATGGCGTAGTCCACCCGAAACTCGCCGGCCGCCTCCGGTTCATGGACTATCTCGACGAGGAGCAGAGGCGCGCCATCACCATGAAAAGCTCCTCCATTGCCCTCCACTACAAAGACCACTCCATCAACCTCATCGACTCCCCGGGCCACATGGACTTCTGCAGCGAGGTCTCCACCGCTGCCCGATTGAGCGACGGCGCTCTGTTTCTGGTCGAGGGCGTCCACATCCAGACCCACGCCGCGTTGCGCCAGGCCTGGATTGAGGAGCTGACGCCGTGCTTGGTGCTGAACAAGATCGACCGGCTGATCTCGGAGCTGAAATTGAGCCCCATGGAAGCTTACACGAGGTTAGTGCGTATTGTTCATGAGGTTAATTGGATTGTTAGTGCGTATAAGAGCGAGAAATATTTGTCCGACGTGGATGCTATACTTTCCGGGCCGGCTGTTGATGTGGGTGGTGATCAAAATCTGAGCCTTTTGGATGTGGAGGACGATGAGGAAGATACGTTTTAACCCCAGAAGGAGAATGTTGCGTTTGTGTGTGCTTTGGACGGTTGGGGTTTCTGCATTAATGAGTTTGCTGAGATTTACTCTTCGAAATTTGGGGTGAGTGCGGCTGCATTGACAAAGGCTTTGTGGGGACCGAGGTACGTTAATCCGAAAACCAAGATGATTGTGGGGAAGAAGGGTGTAGCTGGTGTGAAAAATGCTAGGCCAATGTTTGTTCAGTTTGTGCTTGAGCCGCTTTGGCAGGTATATCAGGCGGCTTTGGATGAGGATGGCGGTGGGAAAGTGATGCTTGAGAAAGTTATCGAGTCTTTTAATTTGAATGTGCCGCCCGTGAGCTTCAGAACAAGGATCAGAAGGTTGTGCTTCAAGATGTGATGAGTCGTTGGCTTCAGCTTTCTGATGCTGTGTTGTCAATGGTGGTTAGGTGTATGCCTGACCCGGTTGCGGCACAGGCGTTTAGGATAGGGCGGTTGCTTCCAAAGAGGCAGGTTATGAGTTATGGGGTTGATTCCGATGCACTTGCAGAGGCGGAGCTTGTGAGGAAATCGGTTGAAGCTTGCAATTCAAGCCCTCAAGCTCCCTGTGTTGCTTTTGTATCCAAAATGTTTGCTGTCCCAATGAAAGTACTTCCACAGAGGGGATTAGATGGGGAAATTGAAAACAACGTAAGTGATGAGGGTGAATTGAATGAGGGCTTTCTTGCATTTGCAAGGATATTTAGTGGGGTTCTTTATTCAGGACAGAAAATTTATGTGCTTTCAGCTTTGTATGATCCATTAAAAGGGGAGTCGGTGAAGAAGCATATGCAGGTGGCTGAGTTGAAATCTCTATATCTCATGATGGGCCAAGGATTAACACATGTGGCCTCTGCCCATGCCAGGAATCTTGTAGCAATTTGAGGCCTTGGCCAACATATACTGAAAAGTTTAACACCTTCATCGACGAAAAACTGTTGGCCTTTCTCCAGTATGGCATTTCAGATTGCTTCTACTCTAAGAGTCGCAAATGAGCCAACTCATCCTGCAGATATGGATGCACTGACTAAGGGTTTGCGGCTGTTGAACCGGGCTGACCCGTTTGTTGGGGTAACAGTTTCTGATGGGGGAGAAAATGTTGTGTCTGCTGCAGGAGAGGTACATCTTGAAAGATGCGTAAAAGATTTGAAGGAGAGATTTGCAAGGGTAAGCCTGGAAGTGTCTCCACCTCTTGTGTCTTATAAAGAGACCTTTGAGGGTAATGTAGGTGATAAACTTGAGAATTTGAAATTCTTTCGTTCAACCTCAGATTGTGTTGAGAAAAAGACAGCAAACGGTAGGTGTACGATAAAGGTGCATGTCATAAAGCTCCCTCCTTTAACTAAAGTGCTTGAAGATAGTTCTGATTTACTTGGAGATATCCTTGGAGGTAGGGCTTCCCAGATCAATAAAAGTTTTGACACAGAGATTTCAACGGTTGCAGAAGACGAGAACCCGATTGAAGCACTGAAGAAACGTATCACGGATGCTGTGGAGAGTGATATTCTGTCTAGTGGGGATGCCGACAAGGATAGGGTTGAGAAATGTAAACTAAAGTGGCAAAAACTACTTAAAGGGATATGGGCACTTGGCCCTTCGCAAGTAGGTCCTAATATCCTCCTTACTCAGTTACTCCAGACCTCAAAGGAAAGGGTTCGGACGGCTCTGTCCTCATCTGTGGCTCCTCTCACGTATCTCAAAAATTAGGATTCGTCGATGCTTCTGGCAGTGGCAATATAGCTGCTGATACATCTTCAGAAGTAGCTCAGGCATTGTCAGTTGAGGCAGAAAACCTTGAAAGCAGTGTTGTATCTGGGTTTCAAGTGGCGACAGCAGCTGGACCTTTATGTGATGAACCTATGCGGGGTTTAGCATTTATTATTGAGGCTAAAACTGAACCGTTGACTGCTCAGTCTGATGAAGGGGAAGCCTGCCACCACCAACGTGAGCAATGTGGTATCTTCAGAGGACAGGTAATGAGTCTAATGACAACCATCAAAGATGCTTGTAGAGAAGCCGTGCTTCAAAAGAAGCCTCGGCTTGTGGAAGCCATGTACTTCTGTGAGTTGAACACGTCAACTGAGCATTTGGGTTCTATGTACGCTGTGCTTGGGCGAAGGCGGGCTAGAGTTTTAAAGGAGGAAATGCAGGAAGGCTCCCCATTGTTCACTGTGCATGCATATGTGCCTGTTTCTGAAAGGTTTGGTTTTGCGGATGAGCTTAGAAGATGGACTGCTGGTGCTGCAAGTGCTCTTCTTGTGCTTAGTCACTGGGAAGCACTTCCAGAGGATCCTTTCTTTGTACCAAAAACAGAAGAAGAACTAGAGGAGTTTGGTGACGGTTCTAGTGTGCTTCCCAATAACGCGAGGAAACTAATTAATGCTGTAAGATGGAAGAAGGGGCTTCCTGTAGAGGAAAAAGTAGTACAGCATGCGACCAAGCAGATGACCCTGGCTCGTAAAGTGTAGAGGATGTTGATATACTTTAGCTTTAGAGTTAGGGCCAATTGTGGTGAGTGATTTACTTCCTTCTGTGGAAATGTAGAGGCTGTTGATATAGTTGTAATTAACTGGCTATAGCTTAATATCTTCTGGCAAAGTGGCAATGCTGCTATAGGTTGAGACTAAGTTGGTTGCGAAAGTGGCTCGCAATCGCAGTTTTCGTATGTTGCTGTGGCTGGATAACAATTTTGATGGCTCGACAGAAATTGAAATTTTGAATGGAAAGATTTAGGTTGCTGTAGGAGGATGTTAATTTGAAAGAAAGGATTCGATGTTTTCTTTTGATTTGATGTTGAATCAGCGTTAAAAAGGTTTTTTGTGCTTTATTTTTAAGCAAGTTACATGAATGTGTTCATGACCTGCCATTTGTGAGCTGGCCAGGGCATTGCACGGTGGTGTTCCTCGACCAAACATGTTACGTGCTGTGTTTGGGACCTGGGAAGAGAAAAATTTAGCTGACACCGTTGTACGCAACGGTTGCGTCTGCATCTCTTCTTCGTGGGAAAGAAAGGAGAGAGGGTAGGGGTGACTTAATCTGGATGCCCTAGCCCAGGGACCAAAGACTCGCATGCGGAGCTCAAGAAAACATGAAAAAAAGGTGAATAGAAGAGAGACAGGTGCAAAATGCGCATCAGTAATTAGGGATGATATACAACGAGAAATTTGGGCTAAAGTCACACAGTAGATCAAGTACAGTTATTTTAGGATTCAAACATGAGCCTTTCTTTACAAGCGTGGAGGGATATCATCGTAACACTACATGGATAATATTTTTTCGCACACAAGCACACTTCAGTTTATTTTTGTTCCTTGATTTTTCTCTACTTTATTCGGTCTAAAATTCATGAATAAACAAAAGTATGAATGGAGAAAAAATGTGTGGAAATCTTTTTTCATAATTATTTCCTGATTTCATAACAAAACAAAGGAAAAAAGAAAGAAAGAAGAAAATGATAAACGCAAGAAAGAAGAAAATGATAAAGGCACACGTTTTTTAATTTCCTACACATTCGTTGGTTCTATTTGATCTATTCAATCTAATGTTTAGAAATAAATAAGAGTGTGTCACAAACTAAAAGTAGTGTATGAAAATCACTCCTCAAAAAGCTTTGTAAGATAATTATTTTCGACAATCACACGAAAACGTGTATAGAAAGGCCAAATTGCTAAGTCATAGTCGGTCACATAACCCCTTCTCTGTCATGTTGCCTTAAGGGACACTCCAAAGTCCAAACTGTAGGGAAAATGATAGTCCAATAGTTATATGAAAAATTAAACGAAGTTAGGGTGAGATGACAAATTGAATAGAGACATATAACTTATTTTGGATGGAAAACTTAACAGAATTTAGGCGAGATGACAAATTAACGACTTTAGAAAATTGGCACAACAAATTGCTTAAAAATTTAGTTTACATGACAAATTAAAAAAAGGTGTACAAGTTCATACAGTATTAAACCAAAGTTACAAAAAATGTTTCAGTTCTTATTTTAACATTTTTTTTTTGCAGTTGTTAGCTTGTTTTGTTATCGTTTGGATTTTGTTGTCCGCAATGGATGGATCTTGTCTGGATTTTGTTGTCGTCAATTATGATGTATTTTAAGATCTTTTTTTCACCTTTAACAGACGCTGGAGGAGACTAAATATTCAGAGTCATCGCTGCATATGGATTCTCCATCACGCATGCATTTTCATTTGGTCCTACACGGCTTCATTATTATTCGGAAACGTCCACAGAAAAATCTATGTATTTCCCATTAGTGAAAAACAGATGAGAAAGCGACTAGTGTGACAATGACGATTTTGAAGTGTTAATAACATTTTCGTTGTGTAGAAAATTTGTAAATAACGACACGATAGTCATATCCAAGTAAAGACTACCAGCATCTGTGGTGAAGGTGATGGACTTGCAAACTTGTTCAACCCGACGCATCTATATCCGTTATCGTTCGAACAAAATATAAAACATTCTAAATACGTTTTCAAAATTTTACACCACATGAAAAGAACAGTTCCAGCAGAAGACCTTAATTCAAAGTCTCCGCTGCATATGGATTTCTACGACGCAACAGAACTAGGTCCCAGCTGTGTCGATAATGGACTTGCCAACTTGTAAAATGGGTTGTGAAGACCCGCCCTCTTTTCTTTTATCCATCAGACAAGTTTCGTTGCAACTCCTCGATCTGCATCGATAATCTATTCCTATAAATTCTGGGATTTAGAAGCTAAACATCATCATCACCAAAGCATAGCAAAGAAAAGTGTGTGTGATAATGGATAGCCACTATCACCTCAGTATTGCTCACTGTTTCCTTCTTTTCCTTTTGGCGTCTTCCTACATGCGGAGTACTACTCAACTCTGTTTCTGTTTGGCCAGTGGTGAACTTTCAAGCAGTGTGGAAACAAATTCGTGCATCGACGAAGAAAGACGAGCGCTTCTCATCTTTAAACGACATCTTGTTGATCCTTCTGGCAGGCTTTCCTCTTGGGTGGGTCACGATTGCTGTCGATGGGAAGGGATTTCATGCAACAACCTCACTGGTCATGTCGTGAAGATGGACCTCCGGAATCGATACCCAGATCTAAATTCCTTTCCGGCTTATTTTAAGTCTCAATTGGGAGGTAAGATAAATGCTTCTCTGTTGAGCTTGAAACATTTAAATTACCTGGACCTAAGCCTTAATGATTTTCATGGCATTCAAGTTCCTAAGTTCTTCGGGGAGCTTAAAAGTTTGCAATATCTCAATCTCTCCTCTGCGTCATTTGGAGGAGAGATTCCCCCTTCTCTTGGTAACCTATCAAGCCTCAATTTTCTTGACCTTGGGGGGGATCCAACCTTAGGGAGTAATCAACTCTCATCTTCCAGAAATTTGAATTGGCTGTCTCGCCTCTCTTCTCTAAAATACCTTGATCTCGGAGGCATGAATCTTAGCACCACAGGAGTCAATTGGGCGTATGCTGTTAATATGCTTCCTTCATTAGCAGAGTTACACTTATCTGATTGCCAAATTGAAAGCATTTCACTCTCACTGCGGAGCATTAACTTGACATCACTTTTTAATCTTACCAGCCTCATAACACTTGATCTATCCTGGAATGATTTCGGTGATCGTTTCCCAAGTGAATTTGCAAACTTCAAATCTCTGGAATACCTTGATTTATCTAGTACAGGCTTAGAAGGCCAAATTCCTAAAGTCATTGGAAATTTGTGCAAGCTAAAGGTCTTAAGTCATTATGAAAACGAATTTAATGGGGGGCTTGAAGAGTTTTGGAGAAGTTTCTCAAATTGTTTAAATATTGCATTAGAGTCACTAGATTTGTCTTCTTGTGAGCTGGGAAGCCAACTGCCGGTCTCCTTAGGAATGTTTAAAAGTATGCAGAATCTCTACCTTCAACACAACTCTTTGTGGGGCTCAATTCCAGATTCCATTCAAAACTTGTCATCCTTGAAAACTTTAGACCTCTCTTCTAATATGATGACCGGCTCCATTCCAGATTCCATTGGAAACTTGTCATCCTTGAAAACTTTGGACCTCTCTTATAATATGATGAACGGCTCCATTTCACAAAGTTTGGGACAACTCTCTCAGCTAGTTTCCCTCGATCTGTCTTCTAATCCTTGGGAGGGCAATCTAACGGAAGCCCATTTCATAAATCTTATCCGGTTACAAGATTTTAGAGCAGGAGGCATATACAACCACACGTCCCTCATTTTTGACATGGCTTATGATTGGGTTCCTCCATTCAAGCTCCACATAATAGATATCATAAAGTGTCAGATAGGTCCTGGTTTTGGGGTATGGCTTCAATCTCAAACTGAACTGAGGAGCATCTGTCTTACGGGTAATGGAATCTCGGATTCCTTACCAAATGACTGGCTGTTAAAGATATCTTCACAACTCATCCAACTAGACTTGTCTTACAATCAATTTCGTGGAAACCTTCCATCCCATTTGAAATCTCCAAAATTGGAGTGGATTGATTTGAGTTATAATCAGTTGGAGGGCCCACTCCCACTTTGGTCGGCCACTAAGGTCACTCACTTTGATCTTGAAAGCAATTCCTTTTCCGGGCCAATTCCCTCCAATATTGACCAGATGATGCCCAATTTGAATTCTTTGTATCTTTCTGAGAATCATTTGAATGGCAATATTCCTCGCTCTATCTGTAACATGCAGCAATTGCAAGAATTGTTTCTTTCTGATAATCATTTGAATGGCACTATTCCTCCCTTTGTTTACAACATGAAGCAGTTGCAAATCTTGTCTCTAAGGAGCAATCAATTTCACGGAGAATTTCGTCATGCATGGAATGTGGGGAGCAATATGAGGTATCTAGATGTTAGTCAAAACAATCTCTCGGGTAATATTCCCACATCATTGGGGGTATTAATTTCACTGGAAGTATTAAAGCTCAACAACAACAATTTTGACGGTGAAATTCCAAATTCCTTGCAAAATTGTTCTCAGTTGACGAGTATTGATCTTGGAGACAACAAGTTATTTGGCAAAATACCACAGTGGATAGGAGGATTAAATGTATCCATGTTGAATATGATACGATTACGGTCCAACAAATTTAGTGGACATATATCCCAGCAACTGTGCAATCTTCAACAACTTCATATCCTCGACCTTAGTCACAACAACATTTCAGGTACTATTCCCAAGTGTTTGGGTAATTTGGCTTCGCTGGTCAATGATTCATATACATCAGATGATACTTTTTATTACTCTGATGAGCAAACCACACTGACACTAAAAGGAAGGGAACTTGTGTACAACACGACTCTGGATCTTGTAACGAGCATTGATCTTTCATCAAATAATTTACAAGGTGAAATTCCTGAAGAAATAAGTAGCCTCATTCTATTGGGCACCTTGAACTTGTCTAGGAATCAATTGATTGGAAAGATCCCTTCCGAGATCGGAAACTTGCATTGGCTCGAAACACTTGATCTCTCACACAACCATCTTTCAGGACAGATTCCTCAAAGCTTGTCATCTTTAACCTCACTATCCCACTTGAACTTGTCTTACAACAACTTGTCTGGAAGAATTCCTTCAGGAAACCAGCTTTAAACGCTCATTGATCCGTCCATTTATATGGAAAATCCATCGCTATGCGGCGTTCCTCTCTCAACTAAGTGCCCTGGAGATGACACTTTCCCATCTAAGGATACAAAAGACATGAATGAAGGTGGAAATGATGAGTTGTGGTTCTATGTCATCATGGTATTTGGCTTTATTGTAGGCTTTTGGGGGGTTTGCGGCACATTGATCTTAAAGACATCATGGAGGTATGCATATTTTCAGTTCTTCGACAACATCAAAGACAAGGTAGCACTAGCAATTGTATTGAAAGTGGCTTATTTTCAATGAATGTTTTCTTATGTTTGATAGTACTACGTATATTTGTGGTTTCCTTTGTATTTGGTTTATGGGACTTGCAACTTATGTATTGAATCAAAAAAATTCTGCCTTTCAATAAATGTTCCCACAAACAATTATGTATTAACTTGGAATTAATTAAAATTTCTAGTTTGTACTTATCAATCGCATAAACCAAAAAAATTAGGGAAGGGGTAGTAACGTACAATCGCGTTTATTTCATAAAACGAAAATAAAGACGAGACGACTCAGACCTCTGCAACGGTCGACTGTTCTCATTCCGCTCCATCTCCGAAGATCAGAATCCGAGAAGAGCAAGAGATATCTCCAAAATGACGTCGTTTAAGGTACGCTTCCTCCTACAAATTTATCGACAAACTATCGTTTCGATGTAATTCTTGAGAAATCGAATTTATTCGAAAAATCAATTCAATTGGGGCTGCGTTTTGAAATTTGAATTACTGTTCGTACAATTATGGGTTTCTTTTGTGGAAGTTGCTTTCTCGTGAATTTTGTCTTGAACTGATTGAAATTCTCTCGGTTTTGAAATTTGAATCACTACGACACTTGTAGAGAGATGCAAAATGTTGGCCGCTAAGGTCGGAAAAATCCATAAAGGTTTTCGATTCCCGGATAACTTTCTTTGATTTCTTTCTCTGGTTTTTCCTTTGGATGAAATCAGTTCTGACATCTGCGAAACCCTGCTTGGGTTTTCGTAATTTTCGGCCAGAATTCGGCGTAGGACAGAATCGGGTGGGAGAAGAAAACTCAACATGCTCACGTGCTTGGTTCTTCTGCTGGTTTTAAGTTCTTGTGGTGGTGGTGGGAGAAGAACTAGAAGAAAACTCTACAAGTTCTTCTAGGATTGTAGGGGGTGATGCCTCTAAAATTATGTTGGTACCTTTTCATTTGCTCATATAGTTCCTTCATTTTTGGATTTTGAGCTAAGAAGTTCTAAATTTGGGCCATCTTCAATGCAGGAGCGGTAAAAGTGAGAGGATTAAATCTTTGCAACGGTATGCATTTTGATATTATGATACCTATACGTGCTTGTGAATTCAATATTCTTTTGATATTTTGATATAACTGTAGATGTTAGCAAAGGTGTGAGTAGGTTCGAGATCCTTTGCTTTTGTTTTAATGTAGTATTGTATTCTTTTGTATTTTTGTAGGGTTTCAGTGGGTACAAACGTTAAGACTGTGAATTTATCATCAAGGATATCCTTCCTGGTAAGAATGTTAAATCCTAGCATGCATTTTCCTTGTAACTCTCTTATTTACATGATTGCATAGTATGTTGTTCTACTGACTTCAGTAGATAACTAGATATCTCTCTGTAATATGAAAATGAACAAAAGAGCCTTCATATGAGTGGTTCAAAGATCTCATAGTTACTTACAGCCCTTAAGCAGGGTACTTCAAGTTAGTTTTCATATATAGTTCCACCCCCAAACTGGACAAAAGTTGCAAAACTTTAAAGTTTTCTTCCTGTCCATGTTTTGCTTTTTGAAGGTCAACTAAGTTTTTGTTTTCCACTGTTACATTGTATGTTTGACAACGCAAAGACAGGGTTTTGTTTTTCTTGACAAGCTTAGCGAGTATCAACGCCTATCATTTCATATATGTTGTTCTTCCAATTGAAAGAATTGATTTTTGTGTTACTTCAATCAGGGAAAAGGCCGGGAAAGCTTTAATACTTCAGAAATGCTGGTATAGTTTCCCGGATTCAATTGTACCATTTGAAATATTTTTTATTATGGATAAACTGTAGTTATTAAAGAGCTGAAGGCACCTTCAGAGAGTCAAAGGACCAAGGCTATGGGTCTAAATCGTGAACCTATTGTTACAGACGGCAGGTCTAAGCCACCTTTGTTTTCCCTCTTTATAAGAAATTAGAAATTATGCCGCAATTTGTTTGTTGTGCCTTTGAAATATTCTAATCTGGCTCATATGCTTATGAAACTAAACATATAAAGACCCTTGATTAAACTTATAACTTTTTTTTAAAGGAGGACTTCATATACTTCACTTAAGCTGATAAGGTATCTGACCAGCACACATGTTTGTTTATTTACTGTGGATAAGATCTGTATCTGTTATTGATGTATTTTCTATTTCCTCCCTCCATTTTAAAGGAAATCATTGCCGGTGCTAAAGGTCAACCCAGAGGAAGCAAGTATTCCGAAGGTTGATGTCATGCATTATAATAATGTTCCTTGGTTCAGTTTAACAGGAGTAGGATTTCAAGTTGGACATTTATATTTTTTGCTTTCCTGCTTGTAGGAAAATGCTGGTAGAAATTCTGAAGGAAAAAGAGGGTATTATGGTAAGATGCCGTGAATATTTAAGATTTGACAAGTGCATGGCACATGATGTCTGACCAAATGGCATTTTGGAATACAATTAAGGCTACGGTTGGCAAGAAAGTAGTACCTAGAGTAAATGATACCACGAGGAGCCATCTGTTGAGGAATCGAGTGAGTGATATCTTTGTGATTATGTGAGTGACAGTGATCCATACTACTAGTTTTCTATCCCGCTTAAAGCCAGTTAAAATGTTTTGCTGATAGTGGTGCATATTCCTTTAAATCTCATTTTGCTCCTGAATGAATGGAATGGAAGCGTCTTTCTTGCATTTTATGGATAGGATTGTTTTTTGCTTCTGAATAATATGTCAATTTCAGAACTCAAAGCAAATAACAGCAGATGCAGAAGTAAAACTATAAGGGTGTACAACAAAGAACTTGTATTCTGCTGTTCACCCCCAATTTTATGAGTTTTGTGGCTCCTCCCAGTTATTTTTAGATATTTTGAATATTGTCCTGGAAAAGGAAAATTTATCATTTTTCTTGTCCCCTGGTATCTAAGAATTGATATTATAATGCTACATGCGAATACAATTTTTGGTCTTGAAAGTTACAGCATCTAGATTTCGAATGGCTGCATTGGAGAGTTTGGTTTTAGGTTTAGTCGCATTGTTTTTTACTCTTGATGGGTTTCTGTATTCATTTTATTCTTCTTTACTACTATAGTTTGAATTACTACATTCATTAACTTTCTAATTCATTGAATGTCTCTTATGTTGAATGATCATTTAAGCTTTTATGTCTTAATTAAACACGGTTGAGATTTCTATCTATTAATAGTTTGCATGTGATTTGAGATTGCAGGGGTCAGCGTAATTCAAATGTCCGTGTATTGCCAAGAAATTCTGTCAGGGTAAGTCTAATCAGAAATGGAATTCATGTCCCTCCTCCTCAAATGAGAAAAAAGAATTAATGTCTCGTTTTGTTTGACCAGTTCTGAATTGTAGTTGCTCAAGTTTGTCTACTTCAGACAGTAAAACAATTTCATTTGTGTTGCCATATTTTACTTTCAGTACTTCAACAATCTGTCAATTTTTTTAAAGTCATTTGGTCCTGAAATCTGTTGACTTGTGTTATTGCTTAACATGGCAACCATTTTGGCATCAACTTGAAGCTTTACGGCAGTGCACTCAATTTAGTACTTCGCCTGAGTGATTGCTTTACATTACTATGAGATTACGGCATCATCCTGACTTTGTTTCTTGGCATGTTTGATCTATATGAAGTAGATGTGCGTTCTATTTATCTTCCCTTTAATTTTATTACAATCCAGCCAACTTTGTCCACACTGAAGGCTCGTGAGTCGCAAAGGACTTTGAAATCCAAGGGTGCATCACGTCCAAACAAATTAGTTTCTGCTACTGCAACTTCATCCAAAACTGAAAAGTGGCTACTTCTCTTCCTGAGAAAGTTAAGCATGAAGCCACTCAGGGAGAGCTCCCATCTGAAGCCAACTGCAGCCAGAGTGCTTCAACTACCATTTCCAGGATAAAATCAAATAGGAGGAGATCTTACACATCTCTATTGATGACTGGATCAAAGGTTGGGGCTTACCGTGTTCTATTGATGCCTTTATTCCTTACTCGTGAACTACTTTCACACTTGGCCCTATTTGCGGTTACTAGAGGACCGTGTTGAAGCTTTGAAGGCGGAAGAGCTGCCAAGTATTGATGACGATTGCAATCAACTGGAAGTTTCCGATGATGTTGATGAGATCTATCAGTATTACTGGGTTTCTGAGGTAATGATTATGATGTTTCTATACCACTGTTTTCATCTTAGTGTGGTAAGATAGTAGGTTTAGTGTAGTTCTGATTCTGACTTGTTGGCTTTGTTAAAATTGTCTTTAACTGCAGGCACAGAATCCACCTCCAGAAAATTTTATGTCGATTCAGGCAGGCATTACTCATCATATGCGAGGCATATTGGTCAACTGGTTAATTGAAGTACCGATTTAACCTTTTGATGAACTATGATGTTTTTGTATTCCCTTTTGTCTTGCTTTGTTCAATTTTACATTTCATGATGTTTAATAGCTGGCTATCCCCTTGATTTGTTCATCCGGAACAGGTACATTACAAATTCGAGTTAATGCAAGAAACTGTCTCATGGTGACATTGCTCGATCAACATCTTTCCCAAGTTACAATTAAGAAGGATGACATGCAGTTAGTTGGTATCACTGCACTCTTGTTGGCATCAAAATATGAGGACTTTTGGCATCCAAGGGTAAATATCAATATCTCAACTCATATCCATTTTTTCGTGATTTTGTTTCTAATTATCTACAACAAGAAAAATTACAGTTCAAAATTTAATTAGCATCTTAGTTGAGACATACACCAGAGTAAAGGTGCTTGGAATGGTATGTGCTTTTCTTAGACTCGGATTAATTCAGTATATCTGTTTTGTTAGAATCTGGAAATGTCCTGGTGCATATCTTATGAGATGAATAATGCTGCATTCTATAGTTCCCTTTTCGCTTGTCCTAAAATAAACACCGTCTTTGCTTTTCAGGAGAAAGCCTTTCTGAAAAAGCTGAAGTTTCGTCTTAATGCACCTACTCCATATGTCTTCATGTTAAGATTTCTCAAGGCTGCTCAGTCAGAAACAAAGGTATTCAGTAGTTTCTAAAGCTAACAGACATAAATTTTGATTAATGATTAACAGCATTACTAAGAAAGAAAGAGATTGACATGCCAGAGTCTAGTGGATATTAGTTCTTGATATGGATTAGATAACAGCAAAGTTGCTAACCGGCTGTTACTTTGCGGACTGTTTTGCAGCTTGAACACTTGGTTCTACCTTATCGAGTTGTGCTTGGTTGAGTATGAAGCGTTAAGGTTCAAGCCCTCGTTGCTGTGCGCAGCAGCCCTATCTGTCGCAAGGTGCACCCAGCAGATTACTCCGGCTTGGACCCCGCTCGTTACGAAGTATCCCAAATCAGGTACAGCTTTAAAGACAAGTAAATAACTTTGTTTCCTTATCTAGTGCTTGCTTCAGAATAAATTTTAATGATCGATGTTTGATCGTTGCATAGACTGTGCAGAGATGGTCTTAAGATTTCACAAAGCTGCAAGAGTGGGAAATTTGAAGGTCACATACGAAAAGTACTCTAGCCCTGATCTCAGTGGTGTTTGCAGCAATAAAACCATTGGAGACGCTTCCACTCCGATTCAGCTTAGAGGATCCTTTCTTTGTACCGAAGACAGAAGAAGAACTTGAGGAGCTTGGTGACGGTTCTAGTGTGCTTCCCAATACTGCGAGGAAACTAATTAACGATGTAAGACGGAAGAAGGGGCTTCCTGTAGAGGAAAAAGTAGTACAGCACGCGACCAAGCGGAGGACCCTGGCTCGTAAAGTGTAGAGGTTGTTGATGTACTTTAGCTTTAGTGTTAGGGCCAATCTAGGTGAGTGATTTACTTCCTTCTGTGGAAGTGTAGAGGTTGTTGATATAGTTGTAATTAACTTACTATATCTTAATATCTTCTGCAAATTGGCAATGCTGCTATAGATTGAGACTAAATTGGTTGCGAGAGTGGCTCGCAATCGCAGTTTTCGCATGTTGCTGTGGCTGGATAACAATTTTGATGGCTCGACAGAAATTTTGAATTTTGAATGGAAAGATTTTGAGACTAAATTGTTAATTTGAAAGAAAGGATTCGATGTTTTCTTTTAATTTGATATCGAATTGGTGTCAAAGAGGTTTTTCGTGCTTTCTTTTTTAACAAGTTTACGTGAATATGTTCATGATCGGTTGTGTCTGAGGTGGCCAGGGCATTCCACGACCAAGCGTGCTACATGCCGTGGTTAGGGCTTCGGAAGAAAAAAACTTAGCTTAAACCCGTTGTATGCAACGATTACG